TTACAATATAATTTCGCAGTGCAGACATTATACTTTATGTTGTCAGCACATGTCTTCAGTGTTGGACTGTAAGCAAAATCATTTTGACATCCTACAGCCTTGGCTGTGACCTGATCAGAAAGATGAGGCCCCCTGGATACAGGGGAGTGATATTCAGTGGCACTAGGACCCGGTGGAGCCATTTACAGCTGTGGCAGCAGCTGCCGGTGTCATTCCTGTCCGGGTCATCATTAGTATCCCTGTCACAGGGGCATATGGCCCCCGGAGGCCCCGAACACCAACACTCTGCTTGGCTGTAATTTCAATAAGAGGTGGGCAAAATGTGATCAACTTTAGGGCTGGACTCACTGTGTAAACGTAATGCAACTGCACAGAGCCAAGGGTGGAAGATGAAAGGTTATTCAATATAACGACATAGATGACTGCCTTTAGGGTGACATGAAACATGGCTTCTGACTGTTCGACTGACTCTGTGTGTAGTCAAATAATCCCATCAGAGGAGCCAAGAAGGCTGGCTAGGGCCTGCTGTTTGGGTTACACTACATCCTTCCTGGCTCTCTCAGCTCTCAACCCCTCAGGAGGGTGCATGTAAACACCATGACACATTTGTTATTATCAAATCACTCCACTCTCCTCTGTGAACGTGAGTGGAATAAGAAGTGGTAGTCTGTCATGACTGTTCCCAGGAAAGGCAAATATTTGGCTTTTGCTCTGTCATACATAAATAAAGTGAACATTAGAAAGATTAAATATACTGTGGTTAGATTTTGGCTGCGGGAAAATATAGAAAAGTCTTTTACTAAATATAAACAGAGAAGCCTCTGCATGGTTCATTCTTTCATCATCACCTTCACAAAGTCTTACATGCTGTACTTCCCCTTTCGTTACATTTTAGCAATATCTAATACATGGTTTGCTCTCCTCCTCAGTCTCCTCTGTTTTTCCCATGTTCCCGCACACACAGATGCACATTACCACCGATTATGATCTATGTCCAGTTATTGTGACGGTGGCCGCTGGGACTGTGGCATGTTGACGTCATTGATAGTGACTGTGAGGTGGTTGGCTGAATGAAACAATACCGAGCACGTCGCTGGAGGAGCACAAGTGTCACTTCAGAGCGTAGGGGAGGGAAATAAGAGAGGAAAGCAAAGAGAAGATTTTAGGTCAGGAATAGTAGGCACTCAGCTTGATGTGAAAGGAAAAATATAGGATGAGGAAAAACTAAATTGGTGGGGTGAACGACTGAATGCCCATGCAGTGAAGGTGGGAAAAGATGGGGGGTGGAGGGAGAAAGGATTAGAGAAATGGGATGATAAAAGAGAGAGAGAAAGAGAGAGAGAGAGAGAGAGGGGATTAAAGCTTGGAAAAATAGACAGTGCCAGAGGGAAGTGTGAGAGGATCAATTTAGAGACATTCTGCAAAGAGACACAGTGTTGTCACTGAATGGGCTGTCTCGCTCCGCTCTCCCTCTCGCTTCCCTCTGCTCGTTTTGCTCCCACCCACTCCCACGTGTGCCCGAACGCCCCTTCCACCCTCCTCCGCACTTCCCCCACCAAATGCCATACATGGACCATAGGAATACATTATGCCCAGCCAGGCACCAGGTTATTGGTGGACTGAAAGACCAGCATGTTTCTGGGCACATGTTGAGTACAGAGGCAAGCTCTACCCTCTCTGCGTGAAAGTCATGGCCTCCGTTCCCTCAAGGTCATGTGAATAATTATGAGAAAGCTCTGTTGTTTCTCCGTCCCCTAGCAGTTAACCTTCTCTCTCCCTACTGACCAACATTATCTCCATAGTGTATAGGACATAATTTCAACCATGTAGAGCATATGTAAGGGGTAATGGCAACTGATAACGTGAGGTTAGGTGTCCTCTCACGCTCATAAAAGATATCACACGCACATGCTTTGGTCCTTCTCTCACGTGTTTCACTACTACCACCTTTGACTGATGGTTCTGGGTCGGGCTGCCACAGTGTTGTGCCCACATCAGCTCTTTTAAGGCTCAGACATGTTCAAAAGCGCAAGACCATGTCCCCATCTATGTGGCAAATTTTTTGTTTTAGGGATTTAATATTGGAAGTTTCTGTAAGTGGCACTGTTTTGTCTTCAGCCAAGTGAAGCAGTTGCCTCTAATGTAAAATGCTTCATGTATTTTGCATTTAAACTCAGTTGTAAACTATTTTACAAACTGGGTGTACAGCAGCTTAAATTGCTATTGTGTTACATCTATCAGTAATAGAAAGAAACAAAGCAGACATCACGCAATAATTGAATGAATGGGCCTAAATTCCTCCTTAATTTCTGTCATCCTTCTCTCCTCTCTGTGTCTGTCTGATCTTGCAGCGGCTCCCTCTCTCTGTGTTGTTGTTTATTGTGTGATGTTGACTTTTGCTGTTCTGGACCGTGCAGCGGTTCCTCGTGTTAGTGTGTGGCAGGTGCTCTGAGCTGATATGAACTGACTGAGCATCTCCCTGGTTACTGGAGGACTGGCAGGCAGCTTAGGCACAAGTAGAGAGGATGATAAACTGTGTCCAGGCTTTTATTTTTTTTTCTCCAAATCTCCCATCCAAAAGCTCTAGGAGGTTAGGGCTGTTAGAGCATACATCTCTTCTTGTCTCTTCCTGCTCTCCAGCTGTTGGTTTTTATGCATTTTGTTGTCTTATCAATATGTGCAGTTGTATTCATCAGTCTTTTAGGCCATGAGAAGGTAGGTAACTGAACAGTGACAATGGTGGGAGCCTGAATGAGTCACTCAATTGTCCTGTTGGGTCAATAGGGTCTCATGACTCATCAGCTGAATTGACTTGGCATTTGTTAAAGAGGCTGCATGCAGTATTTCAGTGGTAGAAATCCTCTCTGTACCTTCTTAGCTCCTGTATTTTCTCATCACATTATATCATCATTGCATGGCCACAAAAACACGCTTTGGTCTTACAAGTCCAAACATTGCTATTGTTTTCTTTGACACAGAAATCGTAAGAAATGGACCAAGATAATCCGAACCAAAGCCAGACACAAGAATCCAAACCAAGTGGAGGAGCAGAAGCTTTAACAACAACTCCAGCTCCATCATCAAATACAGCAGCTCGAGCCACTGATTCCACCGCCGGGCAGCCTGGAGCTCTTGCCAGGCCTCGACGGCCGCAGAGGAGCGCCAGAGTAGAGGGCTCTGTAGATATCTCCGAACCCAAAGCTGAGCCCAGATCTGAGCCCAGATCTGAGCCCAGATCTGAGCCCAAAGCTGAGCCCAAAGCTGAGCCCAAAGCTGAGCCCAAAGCTGAGCCCAAAGCTGAGCCCAAAGTTGAGCCCAAAGCTGAACCCACTCCTGCGACTGACCAAGAAGAGTGCACTCCTGATGGCAATGCAACAAGTCGTCCCAAACCCTCTCACCCTGCAGCAGTCAAACCTTTAGGAGAGCGCACTGGGCCCAGCATTAAGGCTGGTCCTAAAGGTCATGGCCACCACCCAGTTAGGGCTGCCTCAGTCCCTCACCCACCTTCCAGCAGGCCTGCGCCTCCTCACCTGAACCCTCATGCACAGAGAGCCCTCTCTGTAGCAGGTACAGCTGACACTCAGGCCCAGACTGTGGAGGACTTCAGGCAAGTTCCCTGATCTGTGTGTGTCCCGACATTCATGTCTCAGCACGTCTCCGCATTTCCTTTCATTCCCAGACAGCTCAGAAACACAGGCCTGGAACACGTAGCATGTATTTCTATACATTGACAGTCAACAATGCAAGGTGGCATGATTACAGTAAACCTGTAGCCAAATTGCTGTGATTTTTGCTAAATACTACGATCATAATTATTTAAAAGAGTTATTTGTTATCTGTGTATTTCTAAATTACATAAAATTATCCAATTTAGGGACTGAAACATTTCCATGTTAAGCTTCAAAAGGGTGACATACTTTCACTAAAATGGCCTGTGAAAGGTTTGTTTCTTTCTTTCCCACTGGATGTTTCTTCTCTTATATGGGTGTGTGTGTCTAACCACTCCCTGGTTCAGTAGGTTGTGAATCACTGTACAGTAAACTGGAACTGATGAGGTTGCTGAATCATTAAACAAGTTAGGTAAAGCTAGTTCAAATGTAAGAAAAAAAGAATAGGAACAATACTGTATGTGCTAACTGCTTAACACATAAGGTCATAACAACAGGTTTTGTTCTCGAGCTGTACAAAGAACACAGCTGTAGGTGATACAATTGATTTAAAATAATTTAATGAACATTAATGTTTTGTTTTCAGCTACAGTTGTGTTTTACATGCTGTGGCTGTGTGAAGGGTCTGTTGGAAAGTTTAATGGTAACACTGCACACATAGTAAGCTTGTTGCTTTTTATAGAACATTTCTGGAATTTTCTTGGGAGCTGAACATCAAGTGCCCCAGAACAACAGTGACACTGGCTGTAGAAGGCCCCTCAATGTCCTATATCCTGTACCACTACCTCAGTTTGACATGTAAAAGAGCTGCGTGTTCACTGCAAATACTACATTATATGTAGGTCCTTAAATATGTGTAACATATACAGTAGGAAGGTTGGGATGTGCAGAATTTCATTCCATCCATTTTCTAAACTGCATGTCCTGTTCAGGATTGCAGGTGGCTGGAGCCTGTCCCAGTGTACACACTGGGTGAGAGGCAGAGTCAATAGTCTATCAGACAGCGAACATACTGTATTTATACAGACAAACACACCCTCACATTCACATTTATATGGGTGATTTAGATTTTCTTATTTACCTAACTTGCATGTCTTCAGACTTGTCCAGAGTTTGCTTGGCTTTCAGAGCCAGTGGATTTTAATCTGGGACTTCTTGTTTTTGAGTGACATTGTTAACTACAAAGCTTCCCAATATATTAATCTAATGTAAAGTGTAGCTGGTGGAAATCAACATCATCAGTCTGTACTGTGTGTGTCTTGTATTTCTTCAGTAATTTTATGCAGTTTACACTGCATATGAATCAGAATGACTGAATTACTTACATGATAATAATATTGCATGGTTTAATTGATGTGTTGATTCTTGATAATACAATTGTCTACATGGTTTAATGACACATTTCTACATACTGTGGTAAGAAATTGAGAGAACTAAACTGATCTTATCAGGACAGATGTGATACATTTGTATATATTAATAAACGGTGCTGCTGTCTCACTCAGATACTGTAGGTTATGACACTGAGGTGTGTAGTAGATAAGAGACGTTACATAACACCCTTATAGAGTCTGTGATAACACCCTCTTTCCAACAGGGTGCATATCATCACTTGGAATGTCGGTTCGGCCACGCCGCCCGATGACATCACTTCCTTGCTGGGGCTGCACGTGGGAGATGGAAACACAGACATGTACATTATCGGGTGAGTGTTTTGTGGTGTGGTAGTCATCCAGGTTCTTCCACATAAAAGCTCAAGTGTCCATTTATGCTCCCTTGTCCCACATCAACGCTGCAGACAATGCCACTAATGAGCGGTCAGGCTGAACCTCAGTGATGTCTCTCTCCTTATGGCTATGATTTTCTTCCATTTATTAATCCACAGTTACATTATCAAAGGTCCCAATCATGAGCTCTTCTTACAATTCTGACTGCTGTTGACCCATGTGTGTTGTTGTGTGTGTCATTTATCTTCAAGGCTGCAGGAAGTGAACTCTATGATTAACAAAAGGCTGAAAGATGTCCTCTTCACAGACCAGTGGAGCGAGGTCTGCATGGAGAGACTCAGCCCCTTCGGTTATGTGCTGGTCAGTAATGGCTTTTATTATCAACACATATGCACACGCTCATAGTAAAATGCTAAACAGCTTAGATTCGTACTGTACGCATTATGTGATTGCTGATGAGATCTCTGCTTCCTGCTGCTGTTTCGGCTCATTTTGTTCCCCGAGCAACGGATGGGGTGATAATTTCTAACAGCCGTGTAATGTCGGCATATCTGCTATCTTCCTCTGTCTGCCAAGCTCATAATGCAAAGTCAAGCTCTCTGGGTCTCTTGGTCTCCTTCTGTGTGCCTTTATGCCTTCATACCTGCTCCTTATAGTCTATCTTTCTATTTCATAATGCGTTCACGTACCCAGTTTGACGTAATGCACATATTGAATGGGATGTAGAAAATACCTTCAAATATAAATTCCCAAATGTATATCAGATAAGACAGAAAAAGCATGGCTATATTTATCTAAAATATCCAAAGGGAGGTTGAAACATTTATATAACGTAATTTAATTTAATCATCATTTAATATATATTATAATCATCAAAAATATTTATTCTCTCCAGACCTGTCTGGTTTGGTGGCATTTTCTATGTTTGTAAGGGCGTGTACTGTAGCTGTGGTAGGTGTTCGTCTGGCTGCATCTTGGCTCTGTTGGCATGGTGAGCCAGGGAGCGTGAATCAGCTGTCGAGCTGACAGAGCTAGACAAATGTCTCCCAGGATGCTGTTTTATTTTTGGATCACGTTGTTGTCAGTGTTGATGAGCCGCTGACAGTGAGACTGATGCTGTCCTCCAGCTATCTCACAGTCTGCTACGTTAGTTTAAACCTCGTTAAAATCATCTCCATGTGACCTTTTTGTGTACTTCATGTTGTGGATATTAATGCCATGAGTAGGTTAAGGATGTGTTAGCTGGAGTTTGTTTTGAGTAGTGTGAGATACACGGTGGTGTCAGTAGGAATCTGTCTAGTCACGACATGGTGGACAGGCACAAAGTAACAAGACACCCCATCTGTTCGTTCCTCTCTGAGATAGTCTGCTTGTCAGTCAAGACTCATTGTCAGGTTCAAACTGTAATTGCTGCAAACACAAGAAAGCTTACTCAAATCAGCCTTTCACTGCAGAAACACAGAGCCAATGAGAGGTTTTTTCAGGCTATTCACCACACAGTTGCTGATCGTCACCATCATGCCTGTTTGAGTAAGCTACAATTTAATGCACAAATTAGCAAAGCATTTTTTTCTGGCACTAATCTCTAATTGCAACATGGCGCGCTCTATTGAATGTGTTGCAGCTCAACTTTTTCTACCCAATGTGATTTATTGGATTGACCTTTTCTCAAGATTTGTTGACTTAGCATTTGATTCATAACACTATGGGGCAGCGAAAGATACATTTTAAATACTGTGAAGCTGTAAAGTTTAATAGTTTAGTAACATGTATGATTAATATTTAGATTAGATCGTATTTGTAGACACTGGAATAACAGGAACCTACCTTAAGTTAAGGAAACTACCAAAATAAGTTCTTCATTTAAAAGACTCGCTTTCTAAGCACACGTCAATAATTCTAAATCTACCAATCTAAATTTAAATGAGATCCAGCAAATGATGTCCAATCATAATAACTGTGTAATGAACACTGGGAGAAGATATTGATGTTTCTGTAGTCATCAGTTACTGGAATGAGTGAGCCTTATTTTGCACTGGACTTCTTCCAGATTCCCAAGCTGCCCTGCTAACATCACACTTGTTACTCACAGCTCATTTGTTCAGTTATGTGTGTGCTGTACAAGGTCATACATACACCGCTGCACACATACACTCTCTCTCACTCACACACACACACACTTGTCTTTGGGATTAAATGTCTTTGCTGTTCGTAGCCAAAATGTAGCATGGCAGCCTTCAGGAGCTCTTCCAATGTTCACTGATGTGGATAAGAAATGCTTTTCAAACACAGTACATGCAGGCAAAGGTATATTCTCTCATACTTTATACACACACACACACACACACACACACACACACACACACGCACACTCATTGTCTGTGTCCTCACATACCACAAATAAAGTCAGTCCACTTTACGGTTCACTACAATCCATTACGCAACAAAGTTGTTCAAATAGCCAGTTAGTATACAAGCGAGATGGTCTTATGTCACGTGGAGATGTGTGCCTCCATTACTCCCCACTGGGCATTTCAGGCAAAGTGTGATCATGCTTCTTTGCCCTCCAGTTGGGGGTTGGGATGTGTGGACCACTGGAGAGAGGGAGAGGGAGAGGGAGGGGAGGGATGAACATAAATATCTGGTGAGGGGCTTGACATAGCATGCAAATACCTCATCTTGTTCCACATAACAAATGCATGTGTCATATTCATGCCCCCTTTTGTACAGTAAAAAAAAAAACATATAACAGTGGCGCACAAATGTCAAAATCTGCATGTCATTATGCATAACCAGAAGCAAATGCTTAATGACGGTGGAGGGCTTGGAGAAAAAAATGGTCTGACCATCAAATGCCTGCAGTGTGTACATCACGTTTCCTCTTCAAAGTGGTTTGTTGCCACAGCGAGGGTAGACCACAAGCTATGGCCTCCTTAATGTGCAGTGCTTCGTGTAAAGTAGTGGGAGAGCTGGGCCACAGACTCCTTTAGGGCGAAATGGAAATGCAAGGGGGTAGAAAGAGGAGGGAGAGTGAGAGAGGAGGGGTAGAGAAAGTAAACCAGAGCAGCAGAAATGGACACACAGCAAAGTCGGACTCAGCTCAGATAATTTGCTTATTTTGATTATAGTGAAAGTTAAGAACATATTTATACAGTTACAATAAACTTTATAGCTGCCTACTTTTAAGAAATATGCAAAGTGCCTCCTCATAACTTTCACAGTGTGCCTATTCATGTTATCCTGTTTTGTCCTCCTGTCTGTTTCTCCTCACCTGTCTGTCGCTCAGGTGACCTCCCAGCGGATGCAAGGGTTGCTACTGCTGATCTTTGCCAAGTACTTCCATCTGCCCTTCCTCCGCGGAGTCCAGACTGAAACCACCCGCACTGGCCTGGGGGGTTACTGGGTGAGACGGATACTGACACCATTCTGTGATCGGCACTGTGCTATGGAAAATTCACACATGGAAGTTTATCTGTACATAGGACGACATCTCTGTGACTAGGTTTAAGCTTGCATCACTGTCACTGATACCCTGATAGAGATCTGAGAGACTCATTCGCCACTACAGTTTCTACTGCTTGTTTCGTAGACAGTGCAGGTTGTTTGCTTTATGGATGTTGTAGTTGTTACATCTGCTGAGCATGAGTCAATAATCTGGTGCAAGTGATATACGTGAGAGCAATTGCACACCAACCATGTTATCAAGTCTTGTTATTTGTTAGTCAAATGCTGTTCCATAGAGTTTTATGAGAATAAAGATATAGATCTTGGTATCTCACAGCCAGCAGTTATTAAGGCTCGGAAAGCCAAGCATAATAAAGATAAACCAAGGGGAAACTGAAATAAAAAGTTGTTTTTAAGATATTTTACTGGTATTTTTCTAGTGAAAATTTGATTAACTATATCCAACATATAGCAACCAGTTCATAGGATTTTTATTTACAAACACCAGGTCTTTTTGAAACAGGTAGAAAAGATGTTTGCTACTATGTGTTACAGAGAACTAAGATGGTAGGTGATCGGTCTCTATGCGTCTGTGTTGTCCTGATCACTGAGGGCACTAATGCATTTCCAAAAAGTCTTCCAGTACTCAATTTTAAGTGAATTCTTCCCCGTATTAACTCAGACAGGAATCCGCTCATTCTGCAGATTTTATGCTGAAAGATCTTTTGTGTTTTAGTGGGTCAGAGCAGTTGGGAGAACAGCGGGAAGAAAACCGCAGACTCATCCTGTCCCCCCACTGTGCACTTTATTGTTAGCATTAAGTATTGATGACGCTCTTCACTGCTCCTTAATGAGTAAACTTCCTGTTTCTCTATGGCACACACACACACACACACACACACACAACTCAATACGGTGAAAACACTAACATATTAATCACTGCGTTTAGGAACTTTTCCATCACTGATTGATTTGCTTCCACGGTGATACAGTGTGTGCCCTCCTCTCTTAAATATAATTTAACTTCCTCTCCTCTCTGCTTGTCGGTGTTACAGGGGAATAAAGGTGGTGTGAGCGCCCGCATGTCAGTGTACGGCCACACCATCTGCTTCCTCAACTGCCACCTGCCGGCTCACATGGAAAACTCAGATCAGCGCATGGAGGACTTTGAGAGCATCCTTCAGCAGCAGCAGTTTGAGGGTCAGGCTGCCACCGGGGTTCTTGACCACGAGTAAGTCAGCACACACACATTTATACAGACACATTTACAGTTTAATGTATTTGTCTGATGGGTAGTAAAAAAAAATCTGATTGAACCTTTGCACTCACAAACAATCCCAGTTCCTTGTTTACTCTATTCATGTTTTGTGAATGTAACTGGTTTCACAGTCAGCTTTGCAAAAGTACTCATGTACTTGCACTTCCTTTTTTCACAGTGTGGTGTTCTGGTTTGGGGATCTCAATTTCCGTATTGATGACCTGGATATGCAAGTGGTAAAATCAGCCATTGATAACAACAAGTTTCCGATGTTGTGGGAAAAGGATCAGGTAAAAATAAAAGCTGTCTAATATGAATTTGACTCTTCTGCATGTGGTCTTCCTGAAAAGAAGTTTTCAAATTTTTAAAGAATAAAAGTATAGTCTGTATACATCTATATGCTGATTGTTGAACAAAAGCTGTTGACTCTAATTTTAATGTTAGATCTGAGTACTTGTCAAGACTTGTCATTTCACAAGCTGAAATGTCGTTAAGAAGTCAGGAAATACTGTCTTGTCTGGTGGACTGTGCACTGTGTACGTAATGCCACAAGGGGGCAGTAGAGAAACACACTATCTTATTAATGGAGAGCTGTCAGTAAGTGCCAAACAGAAATCCTCTGTGACTAATTTCTAATAATTCTCATTGTTACAGCTCAATATGGCCAAAGACAGTGAGACAGTGTTGGAGGGTTTCCAAGAAGGGCCGCTGAAATTCTCTCCCACCTACAAGTTTGACGTTGGAACAAATACATACGACACAAGGTTGGTGATGCCAGAGGTGCTGTTATGATTTCTAGGCCAATGACCAGCTATTACAGAGCCTGGTTCGGTAATACTTACACTCTCCTCTCTGAAAGGTCCTCACTAGCCCGGGAGCAGCATGAAGGGGCCTCTCTCCATGTACTGATTTTAACCAACATGGTATTTTTTTTTCTCTTCTCTCTCTTTCTGTCCTGCATCCAGCGGGAAGAAGCGTAAACCAGCTTGGACCGACCGGATCCTGTGGCGCTTGAGAGCCACCGCACCTGCTCTCGGCGCCGGGAAGCGTGGCTCCATTTCGGGGCTGACCAGCGGGACCAAAGTGACACAGCACTACTATCGAAGTCACATGGAATACACTGTCAGTGACCACAAACCAGTGTCCTCCATCTTTACCCTACAGGTGAGACACATCAGGGCACATTGTAAAGATAACATATTTAATCTTGTCCAAACTCAATCTGCTATTCAAGAACTTAAATAAAATACTATCTAAACTTAGAAAAGATTTGAACCGGGTAATATCTTCTCACATATGACTTACACAAGTATATGACCATGCATTTGATGCCAACTTTCAAATGTTTTTTTAATAATTGATGTGGTGGACACATTTGGTCAGTACTGAGGTTCGATACTCAGCATACACTATCATTTAAGTTTATCTTAGAAACCTCACAGTATTTTTTTGCTCTCTGTAGTTCCCATACAAGGTGGATATCCCCCTGGTCACAATCATAGTTGAGGATGAGTGGAACTGTGTTGCTGATGCCATAGCAAAATTCAAAATGGCGCCCAACTTCTCTCGCAGCTCCTGGGACTGGATTGGACTGTACAAGGTAAATATAGTCTTACCTCTACTGACCAAATAACATGTTACTTTTGAAGAATCCATGTCAGCAAATCACCACCAATAGCATAACAGATATTTCAGTAAATAATGTCTTGTGCTGCTGCCCTCCTAGGTGGGTTTCAAACACCATAAGGACTATGTGGGATATGTTTGGGCCAAGCAAGAGGAAGCTGATTTTCATCGACAAGAACATGAGGTAATCTGAGGGCATGCCAAATTCTCTTAAGAGCTCCTTTTCTTTCACATTTAATAGATGTCTGACTAACGATTTTTTTCCAGGTAACCTTTACAGAGGAGGAATTGCCCAAAGGCTCAGGGGACTTTATCTTGGGTTACTATAGCAACAACATGAGCACCATTGTGGGTGTAACAGAGCCATTTCAGGTAATCATAACTCTGCACTGCTTTCTTGAGGTTAAAACAATGAAATGCGTTCTCTCTTAGAGGGGGACCTCTCCATATTCTGCCCCATCCATCCCCTCTCATCCTCTTTTTCATCTATCTTCAGATCCAGCTTCCCACTTCAGGTCTTGACAACAGTTCTTCAGACAGCTCTGACTTCAGCTCAGAAGATGACAGCACTGTTGTCCTCATGAAGACGAGGTCCCGCAGCCCCAGTCCACGCAAGAGCAAGCACCGCAGCCATCGCAGCGGCAGCCCCAACCGCAGCCGCTCCGGCAGCCCTGCACAGGCCAAGATAAAAGAGCTCAAGGTCACTGATGGTTCTCCGTCCAGCACCACTAAAACAGCAGCTAAGAGTGAGTCCAGAGGATGTCCAGCAGAGGGCAGCAGCAACCAGGTGTCTGCTCCTGGGGAGAAAGAAAAAGACACCGGGGATTCAGGGCTGTGATACACATCCGAGTCCTGCTGTTGTCACAGGTCACATAGCCAACTGTTGTGTCTTTTATTACATACATCCACTATACTGTATATTTTCTGAAATGGAAATATACAGTTTCTGATGCCATCCTTTTCAGGAACAGCCGTCTGGTTTGTCCAGAAGGCTTACTTTGCCTTGAGTTGTTTTATTAAGCTGTGCACATTGTATATTTTTTATTTGTAAACCTTTCACTCTGTCCTGTGTTTCTTCTATCTTTGTCCGTTCTCAGGTGTGGACAGTACAGGGAGCTGACACCTTGCATTAGGAAATACTCAAGGATTTATGGTCACGTTAAAGAGTGGTTACTTAATACTTTTTAAAAAACATCTTCCCTATATTCCGACAATGGTTTGAAACTCTGCACTGATGTAGTCATATCAGACTGCATATAGGCGATAGAAAACGAGACAAGGGGTATGACATACTTGACACAGACATTGCTCACAGATCACTCAGTTTGCTTTCGTTGTGGAACATGTATCTGTTATGAAACAGATCCGCTCAGACCTAGAGGACCATAAAGACATAATGAAAAATGCATTTTATTCCAAGTTATTACAAGTATCACCAGCTCTGTCAACAATCATTCGCATTATTAGTTTCTGCAATGGAGATAGCCATGCAATTTGAGTTATTGGTGTGGTTCCACTCATGTGAATATTCCCTACTTTTACGAAAATTTACGAAATTCAGCATGCATTATACAGCACCATGACGCATTATACATTACCATGACACATTACATGCAGGTAGAGTTTCAAGTGATCCACCACTGGGAATAAAGTCCCTCCAGGATGCATAAAAGCAGAGCAGAGTGTCAGCGTAGAGAGTGAATGTGAGTGTAAAGGCCTTTAAATAGACCGCCAGATCAGTGCAGAGGGATGTGATGGGTGTGTGAGGCTAGCTGTCAGCTGACACTACATAGCTTTCTTTCTGGAGCTAGTTCATTAATTAGTGGCCACTAACTCTGCTGGGTTAACTACAGTGGTAACAACTACAGCAATATCTGACGCAGGAAACGTGCAGTATATTGCTCTGACACACTTACCTTTATGTGAGTTAATGGGCCTTATTTAACTTTTCACTGCAGCGAAGTTACTTTTTCAAATAATTTACCCAGAAAACAAAAATCACATTATTTAGTTCATCAATCACATTCGTTTTTTATTCCATTTTTAATCCGCATTCAAATTTGGACTTTTTCACATTATGATGTAAAACTCTGATAATCAATCTGAATATCTCTGACAAATGTGAGCGGGAACTCTACTGTGTAGAGCTACTACAGGGCTTTGCATTATACCGTAAGTAGTATAATACAAAGCCGACATGTTCCACTTGTGAAATATCACAGTGCTAATGTGATATTTCAAGTAAATGAAATGGTCCTATCTAACGCTTTATTTTTTATATGATTTTGACTTTTGACTTTTGCTTTATTTTTTTCAGTTCACCGTTCCTGTGTTTGTTTTTGTGTTTTCTCTTGCTCAGATCATCCCTTACTGATCCTGGTGAATAGCTGACAGTGACAATAGCCACAATAGTCGTGTTGCATTGTTACCGTGTGACCTCTGATGCACCATCTTAGACACTTTGTACTTCTGGGCTGTTAGCGTAGAACAGTGTATACTGTTGTAGCTGTAACCTCAGTGTGTATGTCTGTAATCAGTTTTTGTGTGTATGTGTTTTTATGGATGTGTGTGTCTTTTGGATGGTGGAGGTTGTGAGTGAGTGTGTGTGTGTGTGTGTGTGTGTGTTTGTGTGTATGTGTGTAGCTAGCAGTGAATGGGGTGTGACTGTGTTTGCATGGTTTGCTGCTGGACATACTGTACATTCCGGTACTGTGATTTTTGTGCCGTAAAGTGCTGTTTTTGACTCCTCTTTGTTATAATCGTGGCTGTGAAAATTGTTAAAGAAACATGGTAAGAACAGTACAAAAATTTAACTTCAGTATAAATGTTAGGTGAAGAAAATGCAGGACAGTTATGCCTGCATAAGTCTGAAATTGTTTGAATCATTTCATTGTGCACTCATGTATTTTCTTGATTTTGAAATCTATTGGACCTTTTTGTGTAAAGTAACATGTTTAAAAAAAATGTTAAAGATTGTATGACTTTGTCCTACTTTAGGTGATTTAGATAAGTATGATCAGTTCTGCAGTCATGACCATTGTCTATCTATTCTGAAGTGTTAATGAAAAAAAAAGCTCTGTCTACAGAATGTTATTGTTTTGTAATGATGTGGCTAAAATAGAAGAAATATGTATGTAAAGGACAAATATTAAGTATAGTAGAAAACACAAAATAGGAGACAATCTATGCCACAAAGATTATTTTACTTAAATTATGTATTTATTTTCTTATTTAATTGTTAAATGAGCCTGAATTCTGCTGGCCAGTGAGGGAGCATTATTTAAATGGAAATGTCAAAATGATATAACAGAATATTGATGATTATTTTCTTTTTCTATTTGGAACAATGAAGAGAGAGTTTGATTTCTCCGGTTTCCATTTTAGTAAATTCAGGTGAAATGTTGCTTTCATTGTCTGAAGTGTAGATTGTTTAGTCTACAAGTATTTGTAAAATTGTGAATGAAATTGACAAAACAAATATATCAAGCCTGTGAGATAATGTTTGCATATGGAAATGGTTTATTTGTGTGAAATCATCTCATCAGTGAGGCGAGAAGGTTTTTTTTAGGGGTTGCTAGCTTTGTTCTCCAACCCAAAAACTAGTGCAACACTGTCCAAAGAAATAATATACTCCCCTTCAAATTGTGCTATCTGTCTGTTTCTTGACTCTCTTTGTATTCTTTTTTTTGCCACTGCTTGATAAAAATAGGCCAATTACATTATAATATATTGTTTCTATATCAGAATAAGTGGAATACTTGATATACTGAAGAGTTATAGATTATATTCCCCCCCCAAAGAGTGTGTGTGTTGACTATAAAGATAATGGTACTGTATTATCATCACTGATGTTAAAGAATATAACTTAATTCAGTGATTTCAATTATTAGAGTGGAGCTCCTTTATATTATCAATTATCTTTGGACAACTAATCAGCTCTGTGTGATTTTTTTTTACAGGAGGAAGTGTCATGCTATTTTGGGCTTTTTGAATAAATGTGTGCGACAAAAACATAACACATCATGCTGAAGGCAACAGCAGGTGCATCTTGCATCATGCTGTTCAACACTCTGAAAAGAAAGTGTCCACCCTGCAAATTCATGTTGACAAATGACTGTACCGCTCTGATGCAACACTGGTCAGGGATTGAGTTGCTTGGTTTTGTGACACTAAACAGCAAAAGACCAAGTAACATCATTAAATGGACTGACTAAAAGAGTAGGCTGACAATACTAATGACTCTGTAAAGTCGTAAGTGTGACGAGTCAATTCAGTTCCATTCAAAAGGGGTTTATTTGGAAACTACATTGCCAAAGCAGGTATAAAACATATGTATATACAGATTATTTTAGTTCTGAAGAGGCTCATTTTTGTTTTTTTGGTTAGATTTTCCATCAAAAGCCCTTTGATTTGTGACCTTTTATGACCTCTTGTGATATGAGCCACAGTGTGCAATAACACAGTAATAATACATCGTACATCGATATCATTACTTTATTCCTTATCTCACATGATGATAATAAAAATTACCTAACAGCCACTTTTAAAGTTACCTGACCTTTACAGTGACTGACCATTAATTGTCGTATCCTCAGTCTGGATCAGATCAGACAATCGGGTCTCATATTGAGCTTTGATTGAAACAGTATTCGTGTGCTCCACACCTTCATAAATGCTTTGTCACTGTGACTAGTCATATTTAAACATATTGTGAAAAGGGGATGATTAATAGGGGCAGGATGTCAGACATTCACGATGATAAGGAGAAAAGAAGTACATGAGCTGACTTGTTGGACCTGTGGTCTGTCACAAACGTTTGGCTGAAACACATGAACCTATGTTATAATTTTAAATCACTTGCATTATACAATCTTCCCCAATGGAAACTAGAGATACCTTTCTTGGTTTCAGACCTCAAATAAATAAAATTGGCCTACTTTGCCACTAAAACCAATGTAACTGTTCTAACCAGTTCTTGTAGAGACATTAATTAAACCCATCTGGTGCCTACAAACGTAGAACATGTTCACAATCAGAGCTTTTGATTATATTATACAACAGGGCCTGAAGGGTAAGAGGTAGATGGGAGCTTTTTAAGTAAAATATAATCAGGTTATGTTGAGATATAATATCCCCAGCCTCTGCTCTTCCCTCCACTGTCCAGTTTTGACTTTGTTGCAAATGTATTTCCAGGTTAATCTGCTGCTTTCACATAGGAAACAAGTTCTGATGTCCTTGTGATAACTAAAATGAATACAACTTATCAGATGAATTATACCAGTGTTGGTTTAAAACCTGAACTCAAATAATGGTTTCTAGGAAACATTTGTTTGTTGCCTGATACACTTAGGCCAATGATAAACACACACAAGGGAAGTAGTAGTTTTATGTAAGACGTTTCATCCTAACTGCATAAAACCTCAATTGTTACTGCAACACACACTGCACTGTTGAACCAGTGCAAGTTCTTGTATGCACAGCCAGCCAGCTCTACTTTCACTTGCTTAAAATACAGGACACAAAGTGGGAAGGACAGTCAGCCTGAGGAGGATCAAGTGTCAAACACTCAGACCACATCATCATATCCTCCCACATCTGGTCATGTTTTTGTTTTGTTTTTAACATCTTGGCAAGCCTTAACTTATTAAAGCTTGAATGAAGATTTGTGTTTTGCGTTAATAACTGAGGCATGGCATGCAGGATGCGTGTGGGTGATATGGTGACATGGCGATGGAGAAAGGTTATGGTTTAAATTCTGCTGATTAAAAAGTCAGATTGAACAACTTTATGATTCATCTTATCTGGCAGACACACCCACCTTGAGGTGTGATTAGGTCATTAATAAGGTGGAAGCCGCTGACTGAGCCGAGGCTCTCGTCTCGCTCCTAACATTTTGGCAGCATGTTCGCTGTCAGATTGCCATTCTGCGGCGCATTGCTGGTTACAGAGACCGGTTACAGTATGCTCCCCTCCCCTCGACAGGCTGAATGGTACGGCCCACCCCCTCCTGACGTCAGAGCGTCTGCCTTCATAGGATAAATAGCTCTGCGCCATGAGGCTGAGGCTTGAGGATCAATAGAGAGGGAGGCTAGAACTGTCCTTTGGGGGAAAAAAGAAAGAGAAAAAGAGAAAAACGCCGAGACGCTGCTAACAAGACTAAATACAGTTAGGCTCGATATTAACGTTGTAAGAGTTTAAACATTTTTCGCAGCCGCCGTTAGCGACAATGAACGGACAGATGAATGGTTTCCATAACTCCCTCATTGACGAGGACTGCTTCTTGTTCACCTCGGAGTCGGTCGGAGAAGGACACCCCGGTAAGACACGACACATCATCCCTTTTTTAATTAGCTTCTCTTATCAAATTATTATTTTATTTTTTTACGACGTTGTTTGGCCGTCGTCCAATTTCACGTTTCACTCTTTTTAATAAGAGGAGAATAAAAACGTTACGGCCTCTTCCGCCACTGAAACGTTGGCTGGGCCGGCTTCAAGAGCACGCGCTGCTAACGCTTAGCTAGCTAATCGTTGCTGAGTAGGTGATGCTGCGCGTGTCTGGTCCATCGCGAGCCGACACACCTGCGTTATAATCGATCATTACCTGTCAGCTTCACTCACTCAGGTCTTGTCATTACGATATTATTTGGGAATTAGTTAACATTTAACTGAACGCGCCTGAATCGTCCGTTATTCCTGAGACACGCGGGGTACAATGACTCGTCACGTTTTCCGTTGGTTAGTGACCTCTGCATAATCGTGGGTGTGTGTTTTTTTTTTTTTATTGATTATATCCTCAGCAAATGTGATTAATTCATTCAGTGTTTATAGTTTTATCACGCTTGCCTTCCGGTCCCCCCCTCCCGGTTAGTTGCGCGCGCTCCCTCCCTTACCACATGCTTAAATGGCGACCGTTTTAAGACTGAGCCACTCCCACTGACCACGATACGGCCCCGGTCTTCTGGTTTTGCTGCAGTGTTATTGATGCATTGGTTCTTAGTTGCATTGTCCTTGTTGTTTCAGACAAGATCTGCGATCAGATCAGTGATGCAGTTCTAGACGCCCATCTCAAGCAAGACCCTGATGCCAAAGTTGCATGTGGTAAGAAAAAGCAGTTGTTGTACTTCTCTGTGTATGTTTGCTCCAGTGTGGTGCTTTTATAGTGCCGGCGGACTGTTGAGTGTTTTGTTTCACTTGTGCAGAGACTGTTGCCAAGACTGGGATGATCCTGTTGGCCGGCGAGGTGACTTCACGGGCCACAGTTGACTACCAGAAAGTTGTTCGTGACACCATCCGCCAAATTGGATACGACGACTCCTGCAAAGGTGTGGCATGTTGTTGTTTTTCTGGTTTGCGTTGTCTGTGGGTTTGTTTTGAGAATGGCGTTTTGAGCGGCTGTCTGTCTCCTGCACAGGATTCGACTATAAGACCTGCAATGTTCTTGTGGCCTTGGAGCAGCAGTCTCCTGACATCGCTCAGGGTGTTCACATTGATCGCAATGAGGAGGATATTGGAGCAGGGGACCAGGTCAGTAGTTTAAATCAGCATTTTGGTCTGTCGTGTGTAGTGAAGTTACAGGTTGCTGGTCTGTTATTGTCATCAAATGAGACTTGTGCTTTTTGATCACTTGAGTTAATGTCTCTTCCTCTGCAGGGGCTGATGTTTGGATATGCCACTGATGAGACTGAGGAGAGTATGCCCCTCACTATTGTCCTTGCCCATAAGCTGAACGCTAAGATGGCCGAGTTGCGTCGCAATGGCACCCTTCCATGGCTCCGGCCAGACTCTAAGACACAGGTAGAGCGTCCATACTTATTTACTACTATAAATTCTCTTTGTTGGAGGGCTGTAGCTCATTTATATTTTCACCTTCTTCACAGGTTACTGTCCAATACCGCCAGGACCGTGGCGCCATGCTTCCAGTTCGCGTGCACACAATTGTTGTCTCTGTTCAGCACGATGAGGATGTCTGCCTGGAGGAGATGAGAGATGCCCTGAAGGAGAAAGTCATCAAGGCTGTCGTTCCCTGCATCTATTTGGATGATGACACCATCTACCATCTGCAGCCCAGTGGGCGATTTGTTATCGGAGGCCCACAGGTAAATGTCGGCAGGTGTGGCTTTCAGAAATGATTTTTAGCCTGCGAGTTACTTACCTGTGTAACCTGTTCTTCCATCGCAGGGTGATGCTGGACTGACAGGGCGTAAAATCATTGTTGACACTTACGGAGGCTGGGGAGCCCACGGCGGTGGTGCCTTCTCTGGGAAGGATTACACAAAGGTGGACCGCTCTGCTGCTTACGCCGCACGCTGGGTGGCCAAGTCTCTGGTGAAGGCTGAGCTCTGCAGGAGAGTGTTGGTCCAGGTGAGTGCTAGTTTCATAATGCTCCTCTCTTCATTTTAGAGAGTTGGTCTGCAAGAGGTTCCTACCTAAACTTTTTTTTATGATTGATATAACACATGTGTCTGTATTAGGTGTCCTATGCTATTGGAGTTGCCCACCCCCTCTCCATTTCTATCTTCCACTACGGGACCTCCAACAAGAGTGAGAGAGAGCTGCTTGACATTGTGAAGAGGAACTTTGATCTCCGTCCTGGAGTTATTGTCAGGTAATGTGTAACCTCTGAAGCCACCTGCTACTCTATGAATCAACCGCTCCTGGCTCCTCCCTGCTTCATGTGCCTTAGTTCTCTTTTTATGTAACTGCCCAGGATTTAGTTAATTTAATCTATTAATGTATGGTGAAACCTAGAGCCAGTACGATTTTCCTTTTGCTACAGCTGATTTTTATTTTTTTCCCCGAAAGCTGTGAGTTTGCCATATCTCATTCTACTTAAGTACATGGCCTAGTCTTAAAGGATATAAATGTATTGAGTGCAAAAGTCTAATTTATTAGGGTAGACATTTTGATATCAGGTGTAAATAAAGCATTGTAGCTCAGTTAGATAAGTGTCCTTTTTTTGTAAATTGGATGAGTGTGGTTTTCATCTGCAAGCTGCAGTCAACACACTGCTCAGGGATGAGTTTGGTTGGCAGGGTAAGTGTTGAAGCTTCACGTGTTTCCCTCTTTACCAGCTGGTCTGACAAACTTGAATTTTTTTTTTTTAAATATATATTTAATAAACTTTTTTAATGGCACTTGATGCTCCACACCAGCAAATGTGATCGGTATGATGTGTGAGTATGAATGTGATTTGAGGCACTGTGTGTGTGACTGCTGCTAAATATGTTGATTATGTATTCCAGGGAGCTGGATCTGAAGAAGCCCTTGTATCAGAGGACTGCAGCCTATGGCCACTTTGGCCGAGACTCCTTCCCATGGGAGGTGCCCAAAAAACTCAAATACTAAACTTGTTAAGCTTTTCCCCCCAGGCTTGTTGGTGTATACTACAGAGAAGCCTCCAAGGTTCCGGGGGTGAAATGCGCTTATCTCTTTCATAATGGTATCATTTAACACATGACTCCCCTCCTCACTCCACCTCCCTCCTTTGTCTTGTTACTGTTCTCTGCTGGTTGCAGTATCATACTGGGTCCTAAGCGGCATGCCTCAGAAACTTGATGTTTAAAGAATTGGATGGGTTCCATGAACTCATGCACCATTGGTACTAAATGTTCTCCCACGTCTTGAGGTCCCCCTGCTTCTTGTTGTGATAGACCCTAATTAGCAGCCTTCAGTTTGAATCCTTTTGGCATTCCACACACTCGTCAATATCGTCAGTCTTATATTCAGTGTCATGGCGGTAGCATATTAGTCTATATGCGATACCCCTCTTAATTTACTGGTGCTACTGATGTTAGGAGTCTGTGCAACATCTACAAATTTTTAGTCAATTTAGAAGCATAATTTGATAGTTTTGAGGGTCCGGTTCTGGCACCTTTTGCAAACAAGTTAAGCTTCTTTCTAAACATTCCTCCTTTGTCAATCTGGTACCATTATTCCCTAACCCAGTGTTCTTTATTGTTTTTGTTAGCTTTATCCCCTCGTCTTAATGGAGGATGCTAGAATGGCACAATTAAAATTCAAGGGTTGTTGCTGTGTTAAAAAAAAAATGCTATGCATTGCAGGCTAAGGGGCGAGCCAAATCCTAATTATTCCAACTCTCAAATGAGCCTAAAGCCTCAGATGCCTCTACAGACCTTTGCTGTTTTCTGACGTAATACAGAAAAGTCAGAAGCTGCTATGTCACTGCTCTGGTCTGCAGAGGTATTGGTTATACTTGATAACGATTGAAAAATTGGATTATTTATTCATTGAAATTCAATTTTAAATGAGCCCTTTTTAATAAAAAAAAGTAGTTCACTTGCTTTTTTTATGGTTTTGATGTGACTAAAGGCCCTTTTACTCCTTAAGTATATTGATGGCAGGTGTAGCTACAGAGAAACCTGTTTACCATCTTTATCCTTAGTGGAGTATGTTCTTTGCCACTGAGTCTTTTTGGCTGATACTCAAACCTCAACACTATTTATTTGTTCTCTGAAACGCGGCGTGGATACAGAGAAGCCGTGGTTTCAGAAGGCAGCTTTAAACACACTTGGTTATTGAATCTCTAATTCCTTTTTTAATCTTGCTCATTTTTCAGTGTTTAGCTTGAGACTCCAGAGTGTTGTACAGAAAAGCTTTGGTCTGCCTCAGCTGGCTACTGTTAATGGCAATTTTACGACCTATTTTTATTTGTGGACTGTATCTTATTTTTAGGTGGGTTAGTTTTTAAATCCCATTTAAAATGTCTGGTGCAATTCTTTGGCTCTCCTATCCTCATTAGTGGAATGGCAACATTTGGTTGGTGTAGTACAGAGAAACCAGCCTTGTTTACATGGCCGTCCCTTGTGTGGGATAAGAGTTTCAAGTTTTGGTTTTGTTCCCATTTACCGCTCGGAGGTCATCCAGTTGACTACAGTAAGTGTAAGAGTGCCTTTTCTATTTCCTCTACTCCCCATTTGCTTTTCTACCCTCGTACAAACATGCGTTCAAACTTCCAGAGGAACAAGTAGCTCATACTGTATTATGCTTCATGTCTAGTCTGGGTAGTTTCCTTATGCTCTGTAATAAACAACTACTCCTTTCAAATGTCTGTGTCATGAATATTTCTTGTTGATTCATTGATATTGCATCATAGCTCAATTTAAAAAAACAAACAAAAAAAAAAATATATATCAAATAGTAAATAACTTTATTTGACACATCTGTCCAGAGTATGTTTTTAAAATGTGGCCTGTTGACTTTGAGGTTAACAAAAGTGGATTACAGCTGGATGCCCGGTTAGCTCAGTGGGTAGAGCTGGTGACCCATGTACTGAGGCTGAGTCCTTGCTGCAGGGCTTCAAATCCGACCTGTGGCCCCCTGCCGCATGCCATCCCCCCACCCTCAGCTGTCCCACCAAATCAAGGCAATAAAAGCCACAAAAAAAGTGGATTACAGCTTATGCTGTTCTATTTGTGACTTCTTAAATTAATTTCCAGGAAGGTAACAGATAATTACATGAAAATAACGCTTTGGCAAAGGAGAAAGAACGGCATGTCTGGTTTTAAGGCATCTGCAATTTACTTTAGTGTGTCTATAGTATTTGTTTATGAGCATTGAATTTTAATGATTTTCTGTTTCTGTCTGTCAAAAGTACATTTTAATTTACATATTACATATACATTTTTAAGCATTACTTTCAATTGAATGGTTTCCATTGATTTTGAAGTATGTTTGTGACTAATAAATTATTTGGTTTTCACTGGACTCCATAATATTGTATAGCACTTTTCATACAAGCAAAATGTAACGACGTGCTCCACACTTTAAAACCCCTTCCCAACGCCAATGATCTATCAATAAACTAATAACAATGGAAAGTCGCCATTTCTCCTTAAGGGCAGTAATGTCATAATAAATGTAGGTGTCTTGATCAGTTATTCTGTTTTTAAAAGTACAAGTTGTAAATCTTCAGAAATGGAACAACAGATTTGTTTTAGGTGAATTTTGCATTGTCGGTTAAGATACACCACACGTCTGTGATGCATTAACTGTAAGTTTAGTTTAATTTGTATGGCACCAAATTATTATTTATTTCAAGACACATAAAATAGAGCAGGGTATAGACTAATTTCCTTATAAAATTATTTACAGAGAACCAACAATTTCCACCATGAGCAAGCACTTCCTCGAGCAGACTCCAGCTCTGGGTGTGCAGCTGCTGACCGGTTGGGGTTAGAGAAAGAGAGAGACAGATGCACAACAATAACAATAGCAACACTGGTAACTGTAATAAGTCCTCAATATGAATTTGTGTGACAGTTGTTATGTGTTCATCAGCCAGGTCAGTGGCCTTAGTGTGTCTTGCCAGGAGGGAAACAATTGGAAGAAGGTTGCTCCTGTACTGCCCCTACCATTGGTCACTGAAGAGTTTGACCCCAAGCCAAACCCACTCTTGTTGGCTTCTGTCAGCTGACTGTACTTACTGAAAAGGTCAGTATACTTTTAGTGTGACGGTTATAATTGCTCTTTGGCACAGCCGGTTGCTTCTGCTTTCGAAGCAGGTAATGTATGAGTGGCTTTTCCTGTTAGAGTACTTTTATGGAGTTTGAATTTTTGAAGCTGAGATTGCCCTCAAGGATGGTTCCCATGTGTTTTAACTTGTTGATATCCTGTCTCGACTGAGGACAAGCTGAGCTCCATCTTCTTTCTTGCTAAAAAAGGCCATGGCAACACAGTCCACAATTTTACCACTATGTTCTAAATAAAAAACACTTAAATATACATCATTGTGTAATTATTTTTTTCCAGTATTAATGCCCTACATAACAGAGAAATAATTTATATGTAAAATTTATCAGAAGGAGGAATTTGGGAGTGTGTTGTTTCATATCTCTAGATTATGTACTACAATCAGGGGCGTAGTGGACGGTAAACGTAGTTTATCCACCTCTTTGAAATAAGTCTCAGAGTTTACTCATCTATTTGCAGATCTACTGTGACAATCAATGAGGGGAAACAAGGTGGCTAAATGACCCAGCTCTGTATTTACCACTTCACCCCTGACCTGCAATAGCATTGACATCACTCTTCAGAGGTCTCCTGAGCAGAGTTTATTATTTGCCCTTACAACCAACCATTTAAATTCAGCATACACTTCTGAAATGGGACAAGGCCAAGACCCTGCTTCCAGCGAACAAGTCATCCTTATGCAAACTGCATTGCACAAAGAGAGGAGCTGATTTACACTCTTTGCACAATACCACATGACCAGCTTTCAAAACACACACTGAATACATGATTAATAATATGTATCTTCTTTTTGTCCCATTACATATCTTTTTTAAGTATAGGACACTATTAGTGATAAATAAAAATGAAATGGCAGCATGCACTGAAATCATTTTCAAATAGCTGATACAATTGTTTGTATATTGATAATTAGCAGTATTTACCAGTAGATACCAGCAATTTTCCCTGCAATATAAATGTTTTTTCTAAACACATTTAAAAAGGAATTTTAATTGACTGCTTTGAACGCAAAAGACTTTACAGTCAACAAAGATTTACATCATTCAAAATACACGTAGATTTTGTTGGCCAGTTACATACCAAGTTAACCTGCAGATGCAAGAAGATACTGGTGGACTTTACTGATTAATAGCTAGTGGCTGAGATTACATTTTCTGTAAAAACTTCTGTAGTCTTTGTCAATGTTATACAATTGTATGTAACAATATTATCATTTGATTTCCCCATTGATACTTCTGCACCGCTAGATATATAAAAAGTAGCATCCGTCATGAGTTTTATCACCATTCTCTGGTATCAAGTGGTGAGACACCAGGAAAACAAACATTAATTATACTCCTGATTTCTGCCGAGTACATGACTAGGCTGCTGATCATGTATCATCATTGAGCAAGATTCTAGCAAACATTGGTATGTCTTGCTGTTTCTGACAATGCTTTAACCACTATATGTTTAAAAGAGACCGCAGCAGATCACCTGATGTCTTTCAGCAATTCTGATCTGAAACGGCAGCATATTCCCAAATGCTTTATTTTACCAAACGTCTTCTGCTTCACACCTCCCTGCTTTCATACTTGAGAAACTGCTTTATCACATCCTGCCCTTTGTTCCATTTCCTACATCCACATTTACAGTTGTACTGTTTTGTTAAACAAAGAGCCTTGAAGATCCCTTTGTACTTTAGGTCATAATTCTAAAGTGTCTGTGAACTGCAAATGACCACAGAGGCAGAATAAGCGTTTTTTGTCCTGCTGTGTCTAACCTCTGTTATCGATTCAAGGTTCACTCTGACACATGTGAATTCCCCTGTTTATCCAGATAAAGGTCATTCATGAATCCTCTCGTTTCTGTCCTAATTGTCATGAATGTTTGGCCTTAACGTAAATAGTTAACTGCATACACCTTTCAAGAGATGAGAAAGAAAAAAAATAGGTGGATGTCTTGAATCAAGAACATATGATTCCATTATGTGTCCCTGTACTGTATGTGTGTGTGTGTGTGTGTGTGTGTGTGTGTGTGTTGTATGCTCTTATTTAAAAAGTTACACAAGCAATTCAGAGCTTTGTGTAACATTATAATACAATACATTCTTGAACAAAAAAATGGAGATATATGATAAATGTCTAATAATGTTCAGGACATATGTTAAAACCCAGCAGCTAATTCAAAATACTGCTGCTTGAGCTTCAACAAAGAAGAACACGTTACGCCCTTTCTCAATCCCAACATACATTTCCAACATGCTTATATGGCATTAAATCTGAGGTAAATCCCACTAATCTCAGGTTATTTGTTACTGGTTTGGCTGTTGTTGCAACCGCTACTGCTTACTGAGTTTAAACAATGACTCATAATGTTTAGGAAAATATTAGCCAATACACATTATTATAATCCAGTCTCTCAGCAGCAATAAAAACAAACTCTAAAGCAGAAACTTCCACACAGCACCTCTGGGATGTCGCAAAAACCGGCCAGGATTACAGGAAGGTCTGCACAATGCAAATAAGACTGTGCAGAATTAACACATTACCCAATCTTGGACTTCCATGATTATCCAGAATTTGTGCTGATGACATTGTTATCTTTACTGTCATTGACTTTTTGATACTTTCTTGCATAACGTGATACCAAACAACGTTCTCTAGTAGTGGGCAAAAATGATCAAATCTAATCTATGTTTGCATAGTTTACTCAGCTTAATAACACAAATAAATATATGGCATGAAGATTCAAATGAAATGAGTACAAGAATGCCAGTTTTTCTCCAGTTATTTACTACTTCCAAGCTTCCACTAAAACAAGTTTGGGCAGTGCTCTAAAATGAGGGCGTAGCAAAGATGATTGCTATGTTGTAGTGTTGAGTCAAACATCTACTTAACCATAAGACTAAGGAAAAATACAATTAGATTGCTCTTGGTATCAACAATTTCTCTGTATTGGTCCAAGATATAAATTTCCACGTTTCCATATGTTTATTTCAATTTCATTCAGTCAGAGAGATTTTAGCATTAAATCCTGTTCTAGCAAAAGATCTCCGGAGCCTTTTCAGTGCTGAACTGGTAATCCAATGAGCCTTTTCACTATAATTAGCTTTGTTAATATGCCACTCAAAGCTTTGTAAATTAATGAGTGGACTTTGTTGTTGACACATGAGGTTGCTGCACCATAAGCATGAGTGTTATGGAGACCTGCAGTTTTCCTCCCATGGCAACTCCAACGAGTTGGATAGGATTAATACTCACTGGTTTGATTGTATTACTTACGAAAGGAGGTTAATAGAAAGAGATGCCCATTGGTTTTACCTTGTATATCTGGAATTTTTTGGAATGGAATTGCATTTATCTATTCCATTATTGTTTCTATTTAGTTTTATGTGCTGTTATATAAAGGTAATACACCTATGCATGAAGAACCGTATACCCTGTGTGTTCTGTCAGGGTTCATTTAACATGTCCAGCTATCACATGTTTCAGGTCTCCAGAATTAGAATACCATAGATAAAGAGACTTCTAATAACCTCTCCCTCACGTAGCTGGCATTTTATGACCTTAAAAATTGTCTGGAAGTACTCCTTGTCTCCAAAAGCTGGACCAGCTCATTTTAAAACATCACTACAGTTACAGTGTATCAAGCTATGAGTAGTATTAATGCTCAAGTAACATCATCAAATTCAGACCTCGAGTCCTGTCCATGGTTTGACCACAGCAGCTGTGCATTCCCCTACCACACTGGCTCAGTCAAGCGTCTAAATATATCTCTGAATGGTGGGGGGGTTATGTTGGGGTTACACTCCCACAGCCTTGAATGGACAAGATCACTGACTACACCAGTATCACAGCACTGACGGAGGCTGCTGCAGCTAAAATGCACCAGGCTGACATGTAAGTCTGTGAAATTGTTCGCCAAGAGCGCTGCACCACACTCAGTTAGTGTTGCAACGATGTGCTGATAAAGCTTCAGATTCTCGTGGATGATGAGCACCAGCAATGCACCATTACAGTCATTTGGATTGATATACCTGTTTTTGGCGCACACAGCTTTGATGTAGGTTTACAGTGTTGTATCTTTGTTTGTCCATAACACAAAGAGAACTCGGAGGATTCTTCCCACAACAAAGAGCACAGAGAGCACCACCTGTGCTCTGCTGGCACATGAGACCAAACAAAGAACAATGCACACCCAAACAGAGCCCGATGTAGAGACCAAACATGGCCACGGACTGAAAGATAATGTCTTTGGGTGCCTTTCATTTTCTCACAGGAGATACACACTAATGAGCAGAGCAGTGTAGAGTTTTGGCACAGTGAGAAGGGAAGTCAGCTGTTAGGTTGAGGTCAGTGGGATTTCTTTTAAGGGTTAGGTGACAGCTGATGCAACGTTTGCAGGGGCTTGCTGTTGCCCTACTGTACTTCTGCAAGGAAGCAAAATTACATTTTAGTTCTTTTTACATTGGGTATTAAGAGCCTATACATTTGCTCTATCTGAGTATAGTTAACCACCTAATGCGGAATGCCAGTTTGTCAAGTACAGTCCTGTTTTCATGCAGAATTGTATTAAGTCTTTCCAACATGGCCTAATTATGGCAAAAGCTTTTTCAATAAGGCAGTTATTCATACTGCCTTATTGTTTCGGAAATGTATGGGTTAAGAATATTCAGCCAGTAGTTTCTTAACACTGTATGTCAACTGATTTGGGTGTGTTACATAATAACACCTTATCATCATGACAATAATCTATATTAATGTTACAAAGGTACATCCGGTAACACATGCTCCTTTAAATCAACCTGCGTCATTGTCAACGCCACAGTTATGCAATCATGTTTTTTAGTAGTTCTGGAGACATTCCAAAATCTTAAGTGTTATTAAAGTGGTATTAGACTCAATTTGTCATTGTACCCAACCCAGCCTAAATTCTACAGCATGTTATGTAACGTCTGTATTTGAGATTAGGCCCACTACATTCAGCCGAGAAAAGTCAAAGAGGAATAAGAAATAAGATTGCGAGGTAGACGTGTTGATCCTATTACAAAATGTTCGTTTTGTTACAGTAGATTATCGCAAGCATATTAATGTTGTTCATTTCAGTTTAGTTGTATTAAAAAAAACAAGCAAGTAAAAACTTTAGTCAACACAATCAAATCAGAGAGAACAAAAAAACGTGAATATACACATTCAGTCTGGACTTTATTAACCAAAATGGGCAAACAGAGAGAGGGATGGCAGATAATGTGTATTTGGAGCTTTGTTTACAATATCTACATAACTATTAAAGTTTATCACCTCAATAAATGAGTCAAAAATAACAGGCTATGATAAGAAGGAAGCTGAAGCTGTTTGAGTATCCACCGTTGAAGAAGGGATTTGAGAATGGCATTTTCTAGCAGCCCTTAAAGGGTTTGATGAAGGCTTTGAGTTGAAATGTGTATTTGAACATCTAGTGAGTGAAACTATAGTTTTAATGCAAACAGATGGTCGAAGGTTGTTATATTTATTTTTATCTTTTTCTAAATATAAAAATATTTTGCAATAGGTATGAAATAAGTACTACAGAGTGTTATTAAGTAATATATACTGTATGTATGTAACATATTACGCAATATTCAAATATTTCCAAATACATAACAGTCGGTCCTGTCACAACAGGTCCTACTGCAAATTATACATTTCACAAGTGTTACCTGAGGGTGAATTATAAAACCACAGATTATGCATTATACAATACTGTTAATGTGAAGCTACAGTAAGGGGGTAAGGTGTGAAGGTGTGAGCTGTGATTGGATCATTTTGGGCCAATTGAGAAATGGCGATGTGGTGAACAGCAGACTAGGTGACATGGGAATGTTTCTCCCCCCTCAAAACTTCTAGTCACATGCTGACTGAAGAATGAAAAGGGAGGTGGAGATGTTGTCTAAAGGGGAGTGTCTCTGTTCCACCAATAGTAGAGCAGGGGCCAGTCCTCCTTGACAAGGCTTTACATAACACTTGGCCAGCCATGTGGCCAGAGGATGAAGTTTGCATATTTTCATGCATTAATGAAAACAATGAATGGATATCCTACTATGGTGGGAGTCAACAGCTTGTCTGTCCAAATGTGAAGTAAGATTAGTTTTTTCCACAGGTAGGGGATGGTAGTGGAACTCTATTGTCACTTTTCAGCATGGGGATGGGAAATGTATCTACCGGTATTTTACTGTTGATGGGACACCGACACATTCAACCTGTGCAAGTTTTAAAGAGGAAATAATTATTCTTTTCTTATAGCTATGCCCTTGATCAACCTCAAGACATTCCTTTCCTTTTACACCAACCAGTCATTTAGGTATCAGGTTTGTGTGTTGCAGAGATCCTAATAATTTGTATGGAAGGGGTACAAAGCACACCCCTGGCTGGTTCGAACATGCTGGGTTTGTCCCAGGTGGAAAAACAGGCTTACAACAGCAAACTTGTCTATCTGGGCTGGAGGGTGGGAAAAGTAATTAAACAATGAGATACTGAGATACTGTGATACTGAGGTGTAAAAGCAGCTGCAGCTCCTCACACAATGGGTGTTCCACTGGCTTTTTAAAGTCATAAGATGCAATTTTGCAATGTCATACAAACATGAAGCTCATATATAGAGCACAGCAAAAAGGTTTTAGGCAAAATGCAAACCTAATTTGTAATGGTAAATATTTTATTGGTAGAATGTCTTAGTTTAACTCTGAATTGGGCCACTATTGGAGAGTTTCTGTTGGCTTAGGGCACAAAAGACTGCAAATTCTTATCTTGTGTACAGAGTACAAAATGTGTTCATTGTCAGATAGGCACCACCCAATATAATGTGCCAGTGACCTGATAATTACTCTCACTTACAACTTCTTGGGTAAAAAAGTGGTGCAGGTTCAACACATATTGTTGAGTTGAAAGGCTGATTCACACTGCCACCTGCTGACGGACATGATGTGAAACACTTCTGTCATTTTGCTGTATCCCAATACTATATGTATTCCCATCAATGTGTATTTCAGGATAGAAGGGATCAAAGTCGGTAAAGATTTGAGTGTTTTTACAACACGTGAGAAAAAAACATTCACATTTTATGGCTGTTCAATTCCACACATACAGACACATTTGGACAGTAATAAATGGCTTTTATGTTTATGTAATTTTATATGTAAAGAGTTGTTCTTAAAAAAATATTACAGTATAAAAATAAAAGTATTTCAACAACCAAAAATAAATTAGAATACTGAAAACAATGAAATACAGTTGCCACACAAACACATTATCATGGCTACATCCACTAAACTCTACAACTCAAAAACACAACTCAGTTGTCACATTTCTAAACATAAGATTGCTGATAGACTGATGTTCTGTTCACAGCATTTTACCAAAAAATATAAATCTTGTTTTTAAAAACTAGATCTTTGTAAACACAAGAAACACAGGACATGTTCAAAGGAGGTGGAAGGTTAACAGTGCTCTCTGTCAAAGAGTACCTTCTCCTCTCTGGATTTAACTGTTAGAAAGCAACAACATCATTTTACAGGTCCAGTAAACTTGAAGAGTCCCTAAAGTTATGAATCAGGGTATGAGGTAACAGTCCAAGCTGAGTCAAATGTAGTAAACACGAACCTGACAGGTAACTCCCAACCATACTGCCTATGGTAAGTGCTGTTTCTTCTCCTTTATAAACAGAAGACGCCTTTGATCGTGGGTCATCAAGTCTCTGCTGACACTCATTATCCATGAGTCCTCATTATGCCCCAAACCCTATCACCAGCGTTAATGCTTTGGAGAACAGAACTGCAAATGAAGTATTACTCCTCTTTGCCGGTAGCCCCTCTGTCATCATAATCTACTGTCTGAGAACATTACTCAGCGTTTGTCTCGTCTTTTGTCCATTTCCTTTCGAATTCGAGCCTCTAGAGCTGCCCTCATGGCTGAATCTAGGATGTTCTTCTCTGCAACACGGTCCACCACCTTGTCGGGCTTATCCTCCTTTAGAAACAGACAGAACATTGGGAAATTAGGACCAGCGCACAATCAAAGAGACCAAATAGCCACAAGCATTAGTCAAAAGGATGTGCATTGACCTTGTGCACAAGGAAGGAGGTAATGGAACCAGAGTCCGCCTGATAGTCCAACCAGAAGAGTTCAGTTCCATGGGTCTCTGTCTCTGTGCTTGACCCACTCTCAATCCACTCTTCAGCCTCAGCACCAGCCCCTGGCTCGGACCCATCTGAAAAATGAGCACACTCATGCATATTGTCTTCACAGGGTTTACTGTGGGTACAACAGCAACAAAAAGCATCAAACTTACGTCTGCGTCGAGGATGGTACACTTGGATATCGGGTCTACGGGGTTTTCTAGGAGTTGTGGTGTGCCTCCGCCGCTGAAGCTCTTTGGCCTGCTTCACCTCCTTATCATAGTCATCTCTAGAGGAGACAAAAAACAATATTTAGTTATAACTTGGAAAAGTACAGTCTACCATATACCAGTGCTGCACTGCAGTATGTCTCTAACTTTCTAACCTAGTTAGACAACCATGGGGCAATATCATCATATCATAATAAGATACAAAAACAAAACAACTGTGACTCAAACTTAGTCTAAGTTTGAGTAAAAGCTTCTTTATCCTAACTTGTTTTTCTACCTATAAAAAAATATACTATAGATTCTTTTTATATATGTGTGGAGGATTAGTATTATATTAATTGTGGCATTCTCAGATGCATTATTCTCTTCATGTTGTTAATGCTCAGGAACACAACCAGTAGACAAAACAAAAACAGTGTTTAGCATCAGAATATGAGGCGAAAGGTGACTTATACCTTTTATTTCTACATCAATATATCTCACCGAGGTGGTAGCCGAATGATGTTCTTTGATAGCTACACTGATTCACCCCGTGATAATACTGAAACAAGCCTGTAACTAACTTTCCCCCTCCTCAATCTGCAGCTAGTTAGCTTTATGTTGTTTCGCCTCCAGTGACCTAAACCAAGGCTAGCTTCGACCAATGGCCTGTACGATCACTCCTTATAGTCTCACTTTGAGCGTCAAAGAAGGTGCATTACTGAGCCTTCCTTCACTTTCAGACCAACTCCCAATAAAAGACACATATGTGGTTTGCAGCTTTAGGTGTCGTGAACTAGCTGGCATGCTAGCTACTAGCATCGGCTAACGGTATTTGAGGAAATCACCTAGCGATCTGGTTCCTCCGGATATGGTGCAGGAAGCCGTGGCTCATATCCAAACGGCCCCCTCGTTTGTACTGCAGCTCATGCGCTTCATCGTCTCTTAAAATGTCCATTTCAACGAGCAGCTACAGTACAGTGACAGTATGTGTGAGCCAGTGGCGCTAATGATTGCAACAAGTCTCACTCAGATCCAGAGAGGCTGACAAAAAGCTACATGCTAGCTAACGGTAAATTGTTGTCCAATTGTAACATTCCCGGAGTTTACAAATTAAAAAAAAAAAACATCCAGAAAGTGCACTGTGTTTTGTTGAAAACTTATGAAACAACAAGAAAAAAAAAAAAGAAAACAGTCTTTAATTACACAAAATCCAATGTAAAAGTGAGGCTTTGCTTCACAAAATCAACAATATATCACATTGGGTTTTGTCATTGAGCGGCTCGAGGGTCGATGTCGCTAGCTTCACAACTCCGGGTTAGGTTTTAGTCTGCTATCTTTCAGTCGGGACCGCGAGTTTCGACGCGTTTACTTCTCGGTCCATTCATCTCCTCCGAATAAAGTTGCACCGTCGCCGTTTGTTTGGACTTTAAGCTCGCATGCTAGCGGCTGTGATGGTTTCTCTGAAGCGAGAAAGAGAGCCTGAAGTGGACGACGATGACAACGAAGACATTGGTAAAGTGTTTTTACTCCTAACGTAGCTCCTACGTTTGTTAGCCGGTAGCTAACTTGTGGTAGCCAGACGAAAGAGCGGGCCACCAAGTCTCAATACTGTGTAGTTTCAACAGGCTCAACGCAAATGGACCTCCCTTCCAGTTCACTTTGTGTGTGTCAAATCCATCGTATGCTTAAAAAAATAGAAACCTAAACTCTGGGTCAGATAGCATGTACAGCTAGCTCACGTTCAGCTGTTTTGCTTCTTGTTGCAGTCGCAGCCAAAATAGGCCGAGGACGTGTAGTAGAGGATCGGAGAAGCCGTCACTGTCCTTACCTTGACACCATAAACAGGCAAGATAAAGCTGAATGTGCATAGCTACTTTGTGCTAAGTGCTAGTTAGCTCTTCAGCTGATTCCCAGTTTTGTTTGTGTGTCCATCAGGAGTGTGCTGGACTTTGACTTTGAGAAACTCTGCTCCATCTCTCTCTCCCACATCAATGTCTATGCCTGCCTTATATGTGGGAAATACTTTCAAGGTAAGTGAATCATCTGATATTTAACCAGGGATCAAACACCTTGTTTTGGGCTTGGGCTGATTCACTCATGTATTGCTTGTAGGTAGAGGTCTGAAGTCCCACGCTTACACTCACAGTGTGCAGTTTACCCATCATGTGTTCCTGAATCTGCACACTCTCAAGTTTTACTGTCTGCCAGACAACTACGAGATCATTGACTCTTCACTAGAAGACATCACGGTACGGAAAATCCTGGTGTTACAGGCTTATGGCATGTTATTGTTATACTTTTGACCGGAAATGTTGAATTAATTTGCATGTTTCATGTTTCCTTTTAAAAAGACAAACTTAAATCACATAGTGAAAGTTGTTATGAGTAGAGCTGAGAGGTAAATAATTAAAATAATATAGGTATGTTGTTATAAAACTAATGAATTGTTGTATCAGAATAGTTACATGGTTTTAAAGGTTGTAGTCACGTCATACAATATTTACTTTGTTTTGTCTAAAGCTGCTTCATGTGCTGACAGCAGAGTCAAAAATACTGTAATTTACTGACACTTTCTCACTTTCTCTACAGTATGTGTTGAAGCCAACTTTCACCAAGCAGCACATTGCAGGACTGGACAAGCAAGGAAAGCTGTACCGAGCCTATGACGGTACAACCTACTTGCCAGGCATTGTAGGTCTTAACAACATCAAAGCCAATGACTACGCCAATGTGGTGCTACAGGTATGAACAACTGCTATCAAACAGAGTGGACCTTATCTGAACTTGGTTATAAATCTTTTAATTAATCCCTACCATTTGATAATTGCCTCTTTTTCCCAGGCTTTTTCCAATGTTCCACCTTTGCGAAACTACTTCCTGGAGGAGGAAAACTACAGAGAAATCCGCAGGCCACCGGGGGACATCATGTTCCTCTTGGTGCAGAGGTTTGGTGAGCTGATGCGCAAACTTTGGAATCCGAGAAACTTCAAGGCCCATGTGTCTCCCCATGAGATGCTGCAGGCTGTGGTGCTATGCAGCAAGAAGAACTTCCAAATTACCAAACAAGGTGATGCTTTAGTTGCCAGAATCTTTAGTAATGTACTATACTAGGAACTGCAGATCTCATGTAGGCCTTTAACACATACTGCCCGATGGAGACTAGTGATGGTGCTAATTATTTTCTGTTCTGCAGGAGATGCTGTGGACTTCATGACGTGGTTCTTAAATGCTCTGCATGGTGCTCTTGGAGGAACAAAGAAAAAAAAACCATGTGAGTAGGAGAATCAGTGAAATCCTTAATTATTAGGTCATAATACAGTCAAAAAATAAAGCATTTAATGTGATATTTAGATGGGTATTTGGCACATTAATGGTAAAGCCAAGTGAAAAAACTTGGATACAAGTTTACATCAATTTAAACTTTTTTTCTTTCTCTAAAGTGGAATTTAGTTTAGAGTTAGCATTTTAATAATGTAACATGTTTCCAGTTATTAAATGTTAGGAAGAGTGTGAATTAAACCCTGTTCTCATTTGTCTTTGTGCCCTCAAAGCAATCATTACAAAAGCATTTCAAGGCTCCATGCGGATCTTTTCCAAGAAACTTCCACACCCAGATTTGGTGAGTTTCCTGCTTGTGTTATGAAAGCATTGATTGATCAAGAATATTAATAATTTTACTCCTATATAATATCTCATGTTTATTCATCAATAATGTTTAAATTACCTGACCAAAGTATTTTGTAGATAATGTTTTAAAAAAAGCTTATTTTCCTTCTGAATTAATTGATTGAATTATGGTTTACGAAAAGCTGAAAATTGTTGATTTTGAGTTTTGTTTTTTCCCCATTTCCCAGCTACCGGAGGAGAAAGAGGCGTTGCTTGTGACAGACGAGTACCAGGAGCAGATGTCCGAGTCCACCTTCCTGTTTCTGACCCTTGACCTCCCAACAGCTCCACTGTACAAGGATGAGAAGGAGCAGCTTATAATCCCGCAGGTCCCTCTCTTCAACATCCTGGGCAAGTTCAATGGCAGCACTGAGAAGGTACCAATTAATCTTCTTCTCTTACATATAATGTGCAAAATAAAATAAAAGTGGGGGGAAATGACTTCATGTTGCAATGCAGAAAAGCTTTGTTGGTGATGAAGATTTGGTGATTACATAATGACGTAGTCACAGTTAAAACGTGTAATTACCACAACAGCATTTTGAGGAGGCCATATTATCAAACCGAGAAAATATCTGTGCACATTTTCCTGTCTCATTTACATTCAGGAATACAAAACCTACAAAGAGAATTTCCTCAAGAGGTTCCAGCTGACCAAACTGCCTCCGTACCTTATATTTTGCATCAAAAGATTCACCAAGAACAACTTCTTTGTGGAAAAGAACCCCACAATTGTCAATTTCCCTATCACGTAAGTACTGTTCATATACATAAGATGAAATGTATAGCCTGGATCAAAGTGCTTCACAGAGCCATAAAGTGCATTTTGTTAATTAGTAGTGAATAGTTATATTGTAGTTATATAGTTATTATTGTAGAATGTAACTCTTGTAAGAAGGGATGTTAAGCATGTGTATTTTGTCATTAGTATAAATATGTACTTCATGTTGTCACTTTTTATGGGCTTCAACAGGAACGTAGACCTTCGTGAGTACTTGACAGAAGAAGCTCAAGTTACAGAGAAGAACACAACTTATGACCTTGTTGCCAACGTAGTGCATGATGGGAAACCCACAGAGGGAGCATACAGAATACACGTTCTGCATCATGTAAGTTTCAGCCAGATATTTCTGACATTTAACAGATTTCTGGTGATGTTGCTTCAAACTTTAACCAGTGCATTAAGCTGTATCTCGATCAAGCTATTGTTGTATTATTATGGGCATCAGTCATCATCTCTCTTTGTGTTTAATCAGGGAACTGGGAAGTGGTATGAGATGCAGGACCTGCAGGTGACTGACATTCTCCCTCAGATGATTACACTGTCAGAGGCTTACATCCAGGCAAGTCCTCCCACTCATTCTGTGGATGTTTTTCTTGTGCAACACGAAATTACATAAAAGATTAATCCCCTTTTTATCTGATGGCATTCACAGCACACTCGGATGAATCTTATTTTTAAAGGCCAATCTACAGTACAGAAGACCGATGCAGTGTTTTTGATAATGGCACAGACTATTTAGTGTGTTTTTAACTGCTAATGCTTGGGAGCAATAGTAGTGATATTAAGTAAATAAATAAATAAATAAATAAAGGCCAGTATTACTCTTTACAACATTCAAGTTCCTTTCCAATCATAGAGACATTATAAACATATAAAATCTGCAAATAATTTGTATTCTTTAACTACTGGTACACTCTGTGTTGTACAAATTACCTTATTGTAAAGACATTTTTTAAAAATTCACTATCAAATCAAGAACCTGGCCATGCCTTCCAGAAGGACTGCTAAATAAAAAATGAACTAATCTGGTCTTTCAGTGGTTTCATTAATTTTCTGACTTCAGAGGCTTTGGCAACTAAGTGGAGGACTGAATTATTGTAATTTCTTGGTTTAAAAACTGTTAAAGTTAATAATACAGATTATTAGGACATTGTCAGCAGCAAAAAAACAGTATCAGCTGAATCTTATCCCATATCAGACTGAAGTTTTAAATCACTATAAAGTAAAAAATGATCTTAACAATGAGACATAGATTTACATATAACTCATTATGGTAACACATTTTTTTCCTCTCTCCTAGATCTGGAAGAGACAAGACAGTGATGATGACACAAACAACCACACAGGGGTGTAAGTGAGGCAGCGTGAATGGCCAGAAGTGTCGTCACTATTGGAAATTAACTGGGTATTTAAGTGATTGAAAATAACAACAGATTATAGAAGGAGTGTGGCAACAGAGAATCAGGACTTTTTCTTTATAGCCACAAAAAAATAAATGTATATGTTTGTTTTTTCACTGTTTTATCTTTTTACTAAAAATAAACAATCTCTGGGACACATGTCTCTTTATGTTGAATTTTAATAACCAACCTTTTGATTTTATTTTATTTTAGTATGTGGTTACTTGCACCAGGTATCATAGAACA